AAAAAATTCTAAGATGCGGAAAAAAGCCAACATAAAAGAGAAAGACGAAGATAAAAGAAAAACCAACCCTTAAAGACATAGATATTTCAAAGGACAGAAAAGAATTTTAAAATCCCTATTTCGTATCCGTAAATTAAGAATAGGATTCTAAGAAAAAGCTACAGTTAACCTTTGGAAATAAGTATCAATTGCCAAAATAGATTCCATAGAAGGGTCAGAAAATAAAGGAAGTCCCCTAGGACTAGAGAAAACAAAGAAATGGAACACATAAAGAAAAAGTCAGAGACACAGGGACTTCAGGCAGTCCAATAACCAAATAACCCAAGTTTTAGGAAGAGATGACAGGAAAAACATGAAGGAATACATCAAAAGGGAAACAGCAGAAATTTTCTCAGATACACAAATCTTTAAACTAAAAGTGTTCACCTGGTACAGAGAAAGATGATCCAAACCTACGCCTATCCTCGTATAATTAAAAAACATTAGTAATAAAGAAAAAATGATAAAAGCTTCCAATGACAGAAATCGGTAGTCTGATAGACTTACACATGGTTCCCAAAATTTATCTTGTACTTAACACTCACCAGAATGCCACTGTCCCTTCTCTCCACTTCTCCTTCCCTGTCTTTCAAGATGCATTCAAATCTTGCTCCTCTGTGAAACTTTTCACCACGTAATTTATCCAAAGTAATATTACCCACTCCTGCACCTTTCCATTGACATTCAATCTATATTACCTTACACCTTACTTCTTAAATTGCTGTAGCCAACTGTCATTTTTTGGAATGACTGCTGCTTTTAACTCTTGGTTCTCAGAAAATAAGGATAATGTCCTGTCTTACTCTTCTGGTTCTTGCCTTCAGGAAACATCAAATGCCAGGTGAATCTGAAACTAGTTCCTGTTACAGGTCTTAATGTCATTAGCCGCTTATCTCATCTTTTGCTAAATTCATGAATAAGTCTTATATTTATATCCATAATTAAAGTTTAAGGAAATTTTAGAAGGAAAAACATATAAATGGCAAGAGATATCTTATTTCAAAAACTCCCACAAACTACAAGTTATGTTTTCTAATTGCAAACTAATCATTCATCCTACACAGCAACCAACAATGGTTTTTTCAGTGCCTGATGGTACACAACTCAGAGAAAGAGTACAAAAGAGTACCTTTTGGAAAGGGTGGGGAGGGTAGAGGAAATATACTGTCCTGAGTAATAAAACAATTATTTCTGACCAGTATCAATGCTATTAATAGTAGTTGCCTACTCCAGATCCAGATCATAGTAACAGTAACAGAATTCCAACAAAGCCTGGGTCTAAATTATTGGTCCAGAACCAAATTCTAAAGATTCTTTCTTAAGGAAAAAATTCTCATTACCATGTCTTTCCAAACATTTAACACTTCCTGGGAAGAGACACAAGGATGAAAAACCTAGCTAGTTATAGGTTTATGAAGTACTAGTTAAAAACAAAATAAAAAATAAAACTTAATCAACTCGTCTTTTAAAAGAAAGATTTATTTCACCTATTGTTTACTTGACAACAATAAATAAAAAGAAATTTTCTTCAGGAATTCCCCATACATGAAGAAACTCCAGAGGGAAGATAGTACAAATATGTGAATGCTTTTCCAGTTCTAAATTTAAGTCAGGTTGTCTTTATCCTTGTGCAAAAGGGCTTAAAAAAAAAAAAATCTGGTAGGTTTGGTGATTACTGCTATATCCTTTCTTTCTTAGACTTCAAATATGTGGTTCAGCTAGTAATCAAGGTAACAGAAACGAACTATGTTCAAGAATTAGTCATGTAGCCAAGTGCAATGAAGCAGACCTATAGTCCAAGCTACAAGGGAAGCTGAGGTAGGATCCCTTGAGTCTAGGAGTTCAAGGCCAGCCTGGGCAACATAGCAAGACCCCCTTTCAGAAACAACAACAAAGAATTAATTTTATACTAGCTTTCACTAGAAATTCTAGGAAATGAGAAAAGAGGTTCTTTTAAGAAGCATTTCCTTGCTGCTAGAATTCTGACTAATTAAGAAGTACTAAGTTTTCTTCTTCAATACAGCCCCCACTTGATGTTTCAGAGAAGGTAAAAAGGCTGGGACACTAGGCTGAGCTCTGACAACTCTAATTATGAACACCAGTCTAATAAAACTGATAGCATTCTTAGTCAAATAAACTAAAATAACAGTTTTTATTTAAAATATCTTTCATTCCCTCTAAGTTTACAAGCGAAAGTTTAAGAGTATATACACATACATACACACCTCTCTGCCTTATAGACATTGCTATTTTAAAAATAGCAAAATATTTTATGTATCCCTATTGCAAGACATTGTACCTTCTACCAATTTGTAACTGCAAATACAATGCACGCCAAAGTCTGAAAGAAAAGAAAATAGCAATAAAAGGACCTCTTTGGGGAAAATAAATATATTGGAAGTCTAATAAAGTTAGAATACAAATCATTGAGAAATTATTTTAAAACCGAATGTATTCTGCCAGCTTTTTAAACCATGTCTTTCACCACTTGCTTTATAGTTCTAAATAGCAGGACTAGCTGAAAATGATTTATGGACATGGGTATAAATGTAAAGCCACTGGCCTTCATGTTCATGATAGATTTTAGTGTGTATGGGGGGGAATAATTATTTAATATATCACATCACTTAGATTCAATTGAAGGTTTATGTAAAATATTGTTCCGAAGGTATTATTTTAAAATAACAGGTTTCTAATAATATATTCAGTAAGATGCTACAATATCATTTCTATAGTTTAATAAAAAATATTTGGTGAATAAATAAAAATTAATCACTGATATCTGTGCACCGACATGTATATAATTCTTTCAAGTGACTATGACATGGAAATCTTACAGGAATTTAGCCTATTAAGATGGGATTCTATTTTGCCACCAAGTGGTAAAGATTTGTACAGATCTACAGAGGACATTAAATTTCCTTTCCTATTCTCAGAGACTTTAGTAAGAGAGAAATTAAAAAGATAAAAATGCACCTGGATCTTTAGCTCTTTTTTTCCAAGCAAACTTTAGAAGTAAATTTAAAAAGGAAAACTGTGTTTACTTACTTAAGGCTACAGAATCAACAGCTTTTTGTTTACAAATAGTAATATTCCAAATGGCCCATAAGATAAAATACCAACATCTCAGTTTGGAAAAGTTCATAAAATACAATAACTTTAAAATCTTCGCTTGAGTTGAGCCTTTTATTTGATTACCAAGAATACTCACATGTGTGGGTTTTGAACTCCTGTAGGATTGGGATTCAGAGTAAACCTTGCTGTAGATTTGAAAGGTGGATTTGCAAAATTCAACTTCAGTGCTTTGCGTTTACCTGAGAAATAACAAATAAAAAGTAAAAGTTTCAAGTACTATAACAGGTACTATTCTGAGGGCACAAGAAAGTCACACCAAAACTCAGAAAACTTGCTTTAAAAAATAGATAACATAGGACAATATTTTGAAAGGCAACAAAGAATTTCTTAGAATTAAGAAAAAGTAAATAAAGATCATCTAAAGTTGTTACTAACCATAAATCACTCACTAGGCTGTGATACAACAGATACAATGCTCACTGCTTCAAGTTTACATTGTGCATACATTGTTCAGAGGTGTTAACACTTTTCCAAATGAAAACACCACTATAAAACTCATTTATCTCAGTAAATTGGAAAATTCTAAAATATTACCACCTCTCCAGTGTTGTATTTTTTTTTTTTTTTTTTTTGAGACAGAGTCTCACTCT